GGGGGGGGGAAGGGTCCCTTTAAGCACAGGCCTCAGGTAGCCTCAGGCAGCAGCCACACACAGTAACTCCTGACCTGATGCCCTGCCAGACCTGGTTCTGGCCGGGCTTAAATGCAATTCAGTATCCACTCAGTGTGGACACACTATTTTAAAATAGCAAAATAATGCTGTAGTGTAAACATACCCAGAGTATATATGTATCTCCCTTTGGACTGAGCCAGTATCTAATGTATAAGAAATAAGTAATAAATGTATCTGTAAAGATGAAATAAAACTGTATTTTTATAAGGCTATGTCTAGACTGCAAGCCTCTTTCGAAAGAGGCTTTTTCGAAAGATGCTTTCGAAAAAGCCTCTTTCGAACAAGAGAACTTTCGAAAAAGCAAGCCGCTTTTTTGAAAGAAAGCAGCGAGTGAGACTGGATGCTCTCTTTTTAAAAAGCCCTGTTGGCATTCAAGAATGCCTTTTTTCAAAAGAGCACTTTCGAAAAAAGGCGTTCTTCCTCGTGAAATGAGGTTTACCACCGTCAAAAGAAAAGCCGCGTTCTTTCGATTTAATTTCGAAAGAACGCGGCTGTAGTCTAGATGCAGGTGAAGTTTTTTTTGAAAAAAGGCTACATTTTTCGAAAAAACCCCTGAGTCTGGACACAGCCTAAGTGAAAAAAAAGTGTATTAAAACTGCAGTGCTAGATACAGTCTCTTTGCAACTTACAACAACAATAGGGCCTTTTTTTCTTTTGCATTTTAGAATGACAATTCATTGCTTTCTGCTGTTTTGTAATTATTTAAAAAGAACCTGGATAACTTAATCAAGGTATTTCCTCTTGGCTCCCTGGTATACATCTGGCTGCCTGAGGAGATGATTGACATCCTAAGGTGTCCGCAGCATAATCAGTCTTAAGAGCATCTAATATTAAAATTCTGACTAATGATAATCAAATAGAAACAAAACAATAGAAAGATTTTGGTATTAAAAAAAAAAGGATGAAAAATGCTGCATGAGCTTTAAATACAGCCTGCAGGTAATTGTTTCTATTCTGCCAGTATTGCTTACTGTGATAGATGATTTATAGCTGATTATTTGTTTGTTGTGTGATTCTTTAAAGAAAATTATTATTTAGCCCACACCAGTGAAAGAATTCTAATAATGATCACTAAGATTTGTAGGTGATGAATAGTGGTGTCAGGATGAAACACTTCATCCCTATTGTGCATCTTTACCTCTTTATAATCTATCATTCTGTAGCATTCATCATTTACCTTTCCTACTATTGCCAACTTAAAATAAGAGTTTAGAATGAGAATACATAGGAGATCTTAACTTATAACGGTCTTTGACATTACATGATGTGAGGGGGTCACTCACCACCGTAGCGGGGGTCCGTCATCTGTCCCCAGAATCAGTCCATTCCGCCCGCACAGGCCTCCGCTCACGTGGCGTTTCCCCTCTGGAATCTTCTAGTCGCGTTGCTCTCTTCGCCACACTGCCCTCCGGCAGTGCCCAAGTCACTCGCTCTGAGCCCCCCTTCCGGGGGATTGGTGTCTCTCCAGCAGGCCTGTCCACAGGCCTAGCAGGCTGGCCGATTGGCTGTCCAAGCGTCCTGGCCCAGCCTGTCTCTCTAGCCCTGCCCTAGCTCCAGAGAGCGTCCTGCTCCCTCAGCAGCCAGGCTCACACTGCCTGGGCTGAAGCAGCCCCGCCCTTTTATAGCCCCCAGCTGGGCCTTAATTGGCCAATGCCGCCCCGCTGGGCTGAACTCCCCGGGCCTGCTCCAGGCTGGGGTTTGGCTCTTAAGGGGCCAGTACAGGGCAGCTGCCCTGTTACACATGAGAACAGCCATAATGGGTCAGACTGATTATTCATCTAGTCCAGTATCCTGTCATCTGACAGTAGCCAGTACTAGATTCTTCACAGAGAATAAAAAGAACAGGGGTATTATTGAATGATTCATACCCTGTCCAGTTCCAGCTTCTGGTGGCTAGAGGTTTAGGGACAACCAGAGTATACAGTTATATCCTAGGTAGTCTTGGCTGATAGCTATTGATGGACCAGTCTTCCAGGAACATATCTAATTCTATTTTGTCTTTCACAACATTTCCTGCCACCAAGTTCTACAAATTGGCTCTGTTGTGTGAAGAAATATCTGCTTTTTGTTTTTGACCCACTACCTATTAATTTCACTGGATTCTTTAATTATGTGAATCTGTAAATATAACTTCCTTACTCCCTTTCTTCACGCCATTCATGATTTTATAGCCCTATATCATATCCCTCCCTTATTAGTATCTTTCCTATGCTGAACAGTTCTAGTCTTTGGGTACGTCTAGACTACCGCGTTTTGTCGACGGAAGTTTTGTCGACAGATACTGTCGACAAAACTTCCGTCGACAAAGAGCGTCCAGACACATTGAGTTCTGTCGACAAAGCAAGCTGCTTTGTCGACAGAACTCCGTAGTCTGGATGCAGTGTTACAGGCAATAACACCTTCTGTCAACAGAGTTCTGTCGACAGAAGGTGTTATGCCTCGTAAAATGAGGTATACCAGCGTCGACAAAAATGCTGAGTTCTGTCGACGTTATGTCGACAGAACTCAGCGGTAGTGTAGATGCTGGTATAGTTTTGTCGACAAAAGTCCACTTTTGTGACAAAACTAGGTAGTCTAGACACACCCTTTATAATGTATGATTTGGAAGTTGCCCCATAATCTTAATAATTTTTGTTATTCTTCTCTGCATCTTTTTCAATTCTCATATCTTTGTGGACCAGAATGTCACACATCATTCATAGTATAGGCATACCATGGATTTATGTAGTGGAATTATGATATTTTCTATATTCTCTGTTCATTCCAGCAGTACATGTAATATTAATCCTGTGGTACATCCAGCATTGTCTAATTCAGAAGATAGACAACAAGTTTTTATGCAATTAAGGTCTGTTGTGGTATGCATTGTAATTCCTGTGTTTCTATGAATGGTAGTTTTGATAACAGAGAATGAGAATAATTAGGTATGAGAGTTGTGAAAGTACTTTGGACATCTGGGTTGAAGTAATGTTACTTACTAGAAGTGAGAAAGCATGTAAACTTCTTATACGGCTTCATAAGAAAAGTGAATTTGCCCATTGGTCTGGGATTTTCCCAAGCTCTCAGAGCTAATATTTAAAACAGGCAGTTTTTTCAACAGACCTTGAAGTACATCATTGATACAGTACAACTTCTATGAAAGTGCTTTTTATGGTAAAGGTAAGGACCAAGGGAGTTTAAAATGAAATTATCCTCTGGAAGTGATAAGAAAAGAAGATCTCCCTTGAGGTCCGACCAGACCATATTATACCTAATGTGTTTCAGATGGCATGCTCAGCCAGTGTAATTGTACAGAGAGTAGTGTGTTTGGACATTATTTCCCCTTGTCTGTTTGAAGCTTTTAGGACTTTTAAAAAGCACACAGGGCTATATCCTGCTGCTAGGCACGCAGAGATTCATTGCCACATATCTTGGAAAAGCCCTTACATCACAATGCCTGATTTTTATACAATGCATGTCTACACATCACCACACATCTGAGGTAAAATCCACGGTGTTCCCACTTCTAACTTACCAAGAGCAAAGAACAAATAACATCCCCACTTGGTAGCAAAAATGTGCTTCAGGTTTTCAGAACTGACTTACAGAACACCAATAGTCAGTCAGTTTCACAGGGACTTGCTTCAGAAGGGCTTTATTCATTCTTGCCCCTTAATATGATCTCCCCATTGCATTTAGATCATTCACTATGCTCCCTTCCTAATTTCTGGTAGTGGGGCTTATTTGAGGGTTTACCACCAAACTCACTATATTAATGAATGCCAACACAAAGCAGGACAACGACATTGATTTAAACTGTATTTGTAAGCACTGTTGTATTTTACATGACCCGTATACAAGAAAAAAAAGATCTATTTGGACTGAAATCCTAGCCTCTTCTTAAAGAATATTGAAATATTATATTATTGTGATAAATCTGGTGCATAAAATTTGTTCTTTTCCCAGAACAAGCAGCAGCAGTAAATAAAGTTGTTGGAGTCTGTCCCTATAATGTGCCATGCTTCATGCTTCAGAAAGATGCACTGGTGAGATGTTACTTCACTCTCCATACCTCTTGAGACCTTGGCTTGTCAGCTGAGCCTGTTAGGGTACCCATGTCAATGATCAATGCATTGATACATCCAGAATCCAAAGAAAATGAGCAGTTCATTACACAAGGTCAAGTCAATAACTATCAAATGGTATCCGCTTTTGATCACTGCCGACATTCAGAATTGAATGATGACCAATAAGTGAACACCAGTTCCCTAACCAGTCCATCCTCCAAATAACAGGCTGATTTCACAGATTTATTTTATGGATTGTGTGTCACTTAAGCTTGTGAAGGTTCTGAAAGATTCATTTCCAAGAGTGGGTAGATTTTGAACAGTGTGTTGCGGCATGCACCACATGTAGGAGTGGAACAGGTTAATGGGGGCCGTATGGACCAATTAACCTGGAACTATGGAGTCTGAGAAAAAAGCTCTGACTAGGGGAACAGGCTCAACTGTGCTGGAATAGGTAGGGGGGCTATCACGCCAGACAGGAGGCTTCTGGGAAAGGCTACATGAAGATGGTCATTCTCTGGGATGAGGTAGGAGGGTAGGATGAGGTAGGTACACCTAGAGAGAAGCCAATCAGAGGTAGGAAATTATTGAGAGAGTTGCAATGAGGCAATGCATGGGAAGACCGACTAGAACTGGTGATGGACTGTCCCCAGAAAGGGAACTCTGAGTGACCTACCTGGAAAGCTGAGTAATGAAGGAGATGCTGGGATTGCTGAGTCTGAAAGAGGGGCTGCAGACAGGACAGAGGAAGAGTAATGGTGTGCAAATCAGATTGGAGTTTGGGTCTTGAGCTAATTCCCAGAGTGACCAGGAGGAAGCCCCAGAGCAGTAATAAGTAGTGCTCTCAATGACAGTTTAGCAGCAGAGAGTGTTTTTAGTGAATATCTCCCTGAAGGAGGTACACAATGTACAGTAGTGTGTGGTCCTCTAACACATAAATGGGGTAATAATATGTAAGCCAATGGGATACACATGGTATGCCCATCTCAGGATCAGGCTCCACAAAACTGGCAGCAACAGAAAATACTAAATTTCTGCAACCCTTTTGAACAAATGATTTCATTTTGGGGGGCCTTTACCTTAATATTTACTGATGCATAATTAAAATAATGACCATCCAGTGAAGATTATTCTGTTATCAGTCAAAAGATAAAACAGTATACTGATATTAGAATAAATCTGGACATAAGACATACACTGGCATTTTGTTTTGTGAAATGTGGCTTTAGTGTGAGAGAGAATTCCTTTTTACCTAGTTGGAGTTCTGTCAAGGAAAATCAGATTCACTTGTCCTCACTGAAGTATTGTGTCTTCACTGCAGCACATCTGCATGCAAGCCCACTAGAATGCTTTTGTATCTTCATTCTATAGTTCATTCTATACTTTGTATATTTGCCATATAGCAAATGCTACATATGAGTCAGTACATGGCAACAGAAAAACAGTACAACCTTTATTTTACTTTGATACTCATTTAGAGCTTGATTCAAAGCTAATTGGCATCAGTAGAAAGACACACATCCTTTTTACTGGGTCATTATTTTGTTTTTACTCTTCCACATTTCAGCTATCCATAACAGAGGATGACAGTGAAAGGAGGCCGAAGGGAGGAATACTTACGTACCTTTTTACTGGATGGTAAACCAGCAGATATATCACCAGTCACCTCATTTTCACCTTCTCTCTCATTCAGGATCACCAATGTCAGCTTCTGCTTTTATTAAAATGTCAGCAATCAACAGCTATCTCTTCTCATCTTTCACTGATCAGACTGTGGATGTTAGATGAAGCAAAAGGGTTGATTTCAATCTTTCACAATATAAATGTAATACCTTAGCTAAGAATCAGAGTGTACCTTCAAGGATAGCCCTCAATACCAGCTGACATGCAGAAGGAGCACTGGGAAGGAACTCAGTCTTCTCTTTTGCTTCAGTCTTCCTTAAACTGGTTTGTAATAGATTATATACTCAACATAATGAACATTAACAACAGAGGGGAAGGAATACAAGCCAAAATAGGGAAA